TGATGAAGGGTTCCAGGGATGGAAGGATATGTGGTGCAAAGGGTCAGGATTCTGCATCCAGCCCTTTATCCTGAAAAAAAAAAAACTTTTATTGGCAGTGCCCTTCCCAGAGCCCACAGTGGCCACTCTCCCAAACCCCTGCATGCCAGGACTGCCACAGAGAAAACACCTGCAAATGCCCCTGCATCAATCTGGGGGGAAAATGGGCTAATCCAGCAGAACAAACCACAGCCCAGGGATTTGCATTTGTTTTCATGGCTCTGAATGAGGCTGTGTCACTCCTGGGCTCGGGCTGAATGGAGGGGAAATGTGAATTGCATGTAAAATTTGGGTCCGTTTGGGGTCGAGCTGGGTTTCAAGCAGTGACAGAAGCCAGAGGGGTCTGAACCCAAATTTCTTTGCACCTTGATGAAGCAGCACTGGGCTCTCACAAACACCAACAGCTCCCATCAATGCCTGAGCACCCAGAGCAACCAGAAACTAAATCATAACCAGAAACTAAATCATAAACCTGCTCGTCATCCCTCACCTAATTGTCACCAAGATGCTAATGAGAGGCACAGGGGGAACAAAACAGGTGACAGCTGGAGCAAACAGGAAGGATTGGAGACAGCAGAAACACCAGATTCCTCAGATCATCCCTGAGAGGAGACAATTCTCTTCTCTTTGCTTTCAGAGCCCTGCTCTAGGAACAAGCTGGCCCAGGGGACTGGGAAAGTAGGACATGGACTATTCTGGATCAAAATCCTTTTCTTTTTCACAGGCTGCCGGGTGACCTGGAGCAGCTGAGCTCACCTGCCACACAGGTGCCTCCAAAGGCATTTATTGATTTCATCAGGGCAGACAAAGCACAGACAGAGTCAATCCCTGAGTACAGGGAACGTGCCATGAGCATCCCGTGATCCCAGCTCTGCCTGTGCACAGAGTGTGGGGTTATTGATCTCTGACAGGGGGAGCAGATCCCCAAATTTAATACTCGAGGGCAGTGTGTGACATTCGCGTGGGGACTTTGATGCTGGAGTGAAAGGACACAGCTGATCACCCCCCTTCCCTGCCCTGCTCCACAGCCCCACCTCTCCTCTCCAGGAACACCTCCCATCCCTCTCATCCAGAAGCAATAATGTCTCTTATCTGTTAGAAATTTTTCCTGCTTTCTTCCCCTCCCCGAGGAACCTCATGTAGTCTCCAGCTGGATTCACCTCTCCACAGCAAAAAGCAAACAACAAAAACATCCTCCAGGCAGAGACCTCCTCTCCAGGTGTAGGCAAGGATTGGACTGAGCAGGTGATGGTCAATGGAAATCCAGGTAAAAAGGGAAAGAATACAAAGAAAATCTTTGCAACTGAGGTGGATCAAGGTTCCACCTATCTGTGACACTTTCTAGTGACATTTGCTAAGGTCACCCCCCGAGCTGGGATTCCCTCAGCCATGCCCTGCTAGGCAGCTTTTCCTCCTGGTCTTCAAGAGGAAGTGAAAAAGAGGCAAAAAACAGAAGAAGGGATCAGGAAACACTCACTGGCCACGTCCTGAGCAATTCCCAAGACGTGAGCGAGCCCAGGTTTCCTGCTGTCCCCTCAAAGATGGCATTTTCCACTCCCACCTTTCCCCCCTCCTACTTATCTCCCTCCCCTGGCCCCCTGAGCCTGCCCGAGTCCAGCAGTGCAGATTAGATGCCGAGCAATGCACAGAGCCTGGCTCCCCCAGACAGCCCGCAGAGATAAAAGCAGCCAAACACTGTCCAGAGACAGCGAGGGCAGAGCTGGGCTCCCAGCAGCATCCCAGGGGTGATGCCTGCAGCTGGGGACACCCCAGATGGAGGCAGGAACACTTCTGGCTGCTCCCTGTGCTTGAACAGAAATCACATTTTCCAAAATATCCGATGGAATATCTCTGAGCATCAAAGAGCTGCTGCTCGGGGGTGCAGAGGAGCAGCCAGAGCACTGACCAGGGTGAAGGAACAGCTCAAAGTGCTCGTCCCATCCTTGTCCCCATGGCTGTCCCCATTCCCTCAGCCCCTCTCTGGTTACACGATAAGAGCTGGGCTTGACACAGCAACATAAACACGGGGAGTGACACCAGCAGGGACAGGCTGGCACAGGGCAGCCACAGCGTCCAGGGGATTCTCCAGAGCAGGAGCTGTCACATTTATCTCAGGCTCCTCCAGAGCTGCTTGGAGCCGCCGGGCAGAGCACACAAAAGGAGCATTCAGGGCAGCCCAGCACCAGAAACAAAGCAGATGCTTCAGGGAAGTTTGCAAAGGCCCCGGCACAGAAGGTTGGCAAAGCTCCTCTCCCAAATCAGGGCCCATCTCCTTGGCAGCATCAGGAGCCCGGGAGCAGCCCCGGGCCAGTGGCACTGTTTGAGGAAGGGCAGTCTGGAGGACAAAGCTTGGCACAGGGAGCAGGGATGCAGAACTAAACCAAAGCTCAGAGGCCACCAGAACCTTTTAAACTCTTCCACCAAGTTTGGCTGGTGAGGTCTTTTGGGGTTTTTTTTGTTGGTTTTTTTTTCCCCTCACTATTTTGGCAAGTTAAGGAGTGGAATGGGAAAGCAGAGCCTCCCATGTGACCTGCTGGGAGCTTTACTCTCTCTGAAACACCCGAGAGGTCAAGGTGCAGAGAATGTGTATTAGAGGTGAGGTTTCAGAGGCTGCAGGGTGGCACTGTGTGATTTGGAAGCTCTCCTAAAAGAGGATGCAATAAATCAGGTCTGAAACCAGGGGCTGCTCTGAGCAAGGTCAGTTTTCTATCTGGAAGGCATAAGGGAAGATTCAAATGCTTTAAGTGAGGAAAAAAAAAAAAACAAAAAAACAAAAACCAGTTTGAAATTAACTTCCTACTTAAAGACCATCCCAAAGTGCTTTTTTGCTCCTAGCTGGTATTTCAGGAATGAGCCTGACCAAAGGCACCTGGTCTGGTTTTACAGACTGAACCTCTTTTGGAAAGGAGTCAGATGGGATTTGGACAAAAACAACGGAGGCCCAGACACAGAGGCTGCCCTGGGAGAGCGTCCCAGCTGCCTGCTCAGCCTCAAACTCTCATCATGTGCTCGCAGGGAAGGCAGGGGGACCTGTCAGGGGTGGCTCAGCTCCCAGGGAAAACTGCAGACCCTGAGCACACAGGACACTGTGAACAGCAGCACCAGCAAAGGTGGCTGCTGGAATTCAGGAGAGCAGCAGGAGGAAGCTTGGCAGGGCCTGGGTGGCCAAAGCACCTGCTGGCCCTGAGCTGGGAGGGTCCCAGGGGTGTCCAGGATAAGGGATGGGACGAGCACTTTGTCACTGAGCTGTTCCTTCACCCTGGTCGGTGCCACCGTGTGCTGCTGGCTCACCTGAGGGGCACACAGAGCTGTGTGAAATGACAGCACAGCTGCTCCCCTGCAGGTTGGCACTGGCTGCTCCTCTGCACCCCTGAGCAGCAGCTCTTTGATGCTCAAAGATATTCCATCGGATAATTTGGAAGATGTGGTTTCTATTGAAGCACAGGGAGCAGCCAGAAGTGTTTCTGCCTCCAGGACTCCCAGGCCAGCTGCTGGGGTGTCCCCAGTTCCAGGCATCACCCTGACCACAGCCCCTTCCCAGCCCCATCCATGCCATGTGCAGGATGGGGAGCACAGGGATCCAGCACTGCCTCAAAGCAAAACAAATCCTGGAGAGAAATGTGTGAAAAACGACTGCAGAGCCCTCCCTGAACTCCCCAAATCCTCACCCCTGCTCCCAGACTATCCAGCAGGATTTAGGAGCTGGCAGGCTGCAGTGCCTGCTCTCTGTGCATCACTCCTGAGAGCCTGAGGTTCTCAGGATTGTCCTTCACTGAATCCCAGGATGGTTTAGGTTGGAAGGAACCTTAAAGCCCATCCAGTGGCACCCTTGGAACACCTTCCACTATCTCAGCTTGCTCCAAGCCCTGTCCAGCCTGGCCTGGGACACTTCCAGGGATCCAGGGGCAGCCACAGCTTCTCTGGGCACCCTGTGCCAGGGCCTCACCACCCTCTGATCATCTTCCTAACATCTCATCTAAATCTCTCCTCTTGTAGTTTAAAACCAAACACCATTAATTCTAAGATCAGCAGCATCTCCAGTTCGGTCCACCCCATCCACTCTGGGAGCTTTGTGCATTAACCTGCACTGAATTCACTCAGGCTCATGCACGGGGGGCTCTGATCTTCACACAGAGCCTCTCGTTGCTGCCACGAAGCAGGAAAATGCCAAACGTGGCTCATACCAATCCCACCTCTCACTAATCTGTTTTGTCAGCTCATCAGAATCTTGAAAGCAACCTTTAAGTGCTGGGAGGCATCCTGGTTTCTAATTAGGCTCAGTCAGATTTTGTGGTTTAGTCGAGCCAACCTGGCTTACTGCTGCAGCTTCAAACATGTGCACTTGAAATCAGTTTTTCCACTGAGAAAAAGATAAGGCCCCCAGTTTCCTCCCCTCAGATAAGCTGGAGGAGAAAGGAACATGAAGTCATGTCCCTGCCACCCCAAATCCGTGTGGTTCTGTGTCCCATCTCCACAGCCCCAGCTGAGCTTTACGGGCATCCAAAGGCAGAAATTGAAGCACAGGATACTCCAAGGGGTGGAGAATATAAGAATTCAGGGATTTCTAAGCCATCAGAAAAGGTTTGATAAGCTACTGTTCACTGCCACTATTATTTGTATTTTCAGAAGTGTCACAGTGTTCTCAGCACTTTGCAAACAAGCCAGAACTCACAGACTTTTCCAACCAACTGCAAAATGCAAAAAAACCAGAAAATTCAAGACTGACTCACTCTCCCTGATTATAAAGCACTTTCTGAAACTTTTCATCAGCCATTTGCTTTCTACGAGAAAAACTGATCTAATACAATTATTGAATCATTTCAGCCTTGCAATTATGTAATTCCTGATACCAGGGCATTTCCACTGTGTGTTTTGATCACCCTTAAAACCATCTGCAGAGCCTGAGGGATCAGGGATGCTCCTCAGAGCTCTGGCAGTGGGTCCAGGGGGAAGGCACTGACCTGGTGTGGAGGTGGCACAGAACTCGTGTTCCCTTGGAATACAGCTTGAACCTTGGTAATCCCTCCTTGGCCATGGCATTCCCTTCTCATCCAGCTGCCAAAAGGAGATCTGAAATGAAAATAATTACCATCAATCACTCATGGTTTTGTTGTTTGGTTGTTTTTTTTTTCTTCCCTGCTAAGCATCCAAACCCATATCTTAGATAAACAAAAAAAACCAAAAGCGTTTGGCCCCAACCAAACCCTGGCTGTGAACAAATCTGGGTAAGATACTCAGGGCTCTGTTGTGTGGAATCCTGTGAATTCATTCACCTCAGAAGTGTTCATTATTCACACCCCAAACCCAGGCTGCTCCCATGGACATGCCCTGAGGCTTGGGCACATCTCACTCACCTTTAGGGACTGCCTGAGGAAGCTGAAGGTGAGGAGTGTCCCCAGGGCACCCCCACAATGACCCAGGGGCTCCTATGGAGGCTCCATCTCTCAGCATTAGCCACAGTGCCTCAGGGCAAGGCAAACCCACTGCTGGGAGCCAGCCAGAGCCTCAGATCCAGCTTTTCCCTGAGCTCCCCCATCCTGGCTGCTCCTTGGCTCCCACCCAAAAACGCAGCACCTGGGGACGAGCCCAGCCCAGCCCAGCCCCAGCTGAGAGGGCACAGGGGCTCCCACAGCCCATCTTCCCTTCCCTCAGCTTCCAGGGAATTGCAGATACACAAAGAAGTTTGGTTAAAACACAGAAAGTTTGGGGTGGAACTCTGGTTTTTGTTTTTTTTTTTAAATCCTGGCAGTGGTGTTTTGGCTGCTGGAATTGAAATGCCATCCAATCCTTGGAGCTGCCTTTGAGCTCCCACTTAAGTCAATGTGGGGTTAAGGGCAAGGCAGCACTAAAACCTAACAGGGTGAGAAGCTGCAGAGCTCTGCCCTGTCTTTGCAGCTCCAATTTTGCCAAAAAGGGATTAATTAATGATCAGTGGACAAGGCCACGGTGATTCCCTGGCAGCCCTGGCACAGGGGAGCCCTCACCATGGAGATGCAGCACTGCAGGACTGGTCCCACACCTTATCCTGGCAGGAAGGTGCCCACACGCAGCCAGGATCCCACAGCCCTCCTGAGCTGCTGTAACTGTGCTGGAGCTGCTCCAGGGTTACCCCGGGGCCAGGGCAGGACAGAGCTCCAGCCTGGCGTGCAGATGGCTCCCCCTCTCCTTTGGAGAGGCTGAATGACTTTTCAAACCTTTGATTCCTGATGTATTCACTTCAGGAGACACAAAAGTACAAAATCTCAGCATGGAGTGACTCCCTTGCTTGCCTTTTTTTTT